ATTTAGAACATTCACACCTAACGATTAATTTCTAATTTTATACTCTCTATCAACAACATTTTTAATGTTTTATATTTTAGATATATGTTTACTTCAGTACAGATCCTGTAAGTATGGAGTTTGTAAGTAGACCTGGGGAAAAATAAATAAAATAATCCCAACTTACATTTGCAAGATCCTGCAAAGGTTCCTCAGGATTCTGCAAAGGTTTCTCTTGATCCTGCAAAGGTTCCTCAGGATCCTGCAAAGGTTCCTCAGGATCCTGCAAAGGTTCCTCAGGATTCTGCAAAGGTTTCTCATGATCCTGCAAAGGTTCCTTAGGATCCTGCAAAGGTTCCTCAGGATCCTGCAAAGGTTCCTCAGGATCCTGCAAAGGTTCCTCAGGATCCTGAAAAGGTTTCTCAGGATCCTGCAAAGGTTCCTCAGGATCTTGAGAAATCTTTGCAGGATCCCAAGAAACTTTTGTAGGATCTTACAAAAGTAATTTTGGATCCGTTTTTGTTTTTTCCCCATGTCCCCTTACGGGCTTTGTAGTTTACCTACAATCTCGAAAATCAGGTTAAAAAACACCAAAATTTCATATTTAATTTTCTTGTCTTGAAAGATCAGGTCTCAAGGCCCGGCTGGAGCCATAATAAATTGTCCTTTTAGGTAGCTGGTGATTGGAATTCCTTCAAGGAATAGAAGCTGATGAAAAGCAAAGAAAATAAAATATAACATTTCTCCCACGTATCGTGCTGTGCTGCACTTTAATAAAGCCTGTTCTTCTGTCCTCAGGCCTACAAGGCTGTTGTGAATGACGCTACAATCTTCAAATTAGAGCTGCCCATGAAACAGAAGGGGTGAGTCACTGCCAGCCAAAGTTACGCACCGTTTAGTGAAGTTTATGTAAACGTGTTTGCACGTCTCCGTCCCACCAGCGTGGGGATGAAGACTCAGCCAGAGTCCAAGTGTCCCGAGCTGCTGGCCAACTACTGTGACATGTTGCTGAGGAAAACGCCCCTCAGCAAGAAACTCACCTCTGAGGAAATCGAGCTCAAACTCAAAGAAGTGGTGAGTTTATAAAATCCGGTCGGCTTTTGTTCTTTTTTTTACTTACTTTTCTTATGGATTCAATCTTTCCTTTTCTGCAGCTCTTAGTCTTGAAGTACGTCCAGAACAAAGACGTATTTATGCGTTACCACAAAGCCCACCTAACGAGGCGCCTGATTCTGGACATCTCAGCCGACAGCGAGATTGAAGAGAACATGGTGGAGTGGCTACGGGTGAGTCCAGCTCCTCTCAGACTCCCAAAAGACTGAGAGACGATACAAAAATGTATGTGTTTGTCGTAGGAGGTGGGAATGCCCGCTGATTATGTGAACAAGCTCGCCAGGATGTTTCAGGACATCAAGGTCTCCGAGGACCTCAACCAGGTCTTCAAAGAGATGCACAAACACAACAAGCTGGCTCTACCAGGTACCCAAAAAAATCAAGCAAATCCTACTTTTGGCATTTTTTAGTACACATCTCTGTTTACTGTTTTAGATTTCAAAAATAGCATTTTCCTTGGTCACAATAACATTCAAATAAAATAAAACGTCTACAAGCAGAAATTAAAATTAATTTCAACTAAGAAGAAGAAAAAATTATATTTTTGTGTTTGTTTGGTATCAATAGAAAGTTAAGAATCTTGGCTAAAAAGCTCATGGAAACTATTTTATCATTCAACAGAAACAGTTTAAATAACAGGCAGTTGAATCAGAAAGTAAACAAACTGTACAAGATGGGATTGTTGCAAATCTGTAAATACATCACAACAAATCTGTAAATATATCACAATAAATCTATAAATACATCACAACAAATCTGTAAAGGAAACATTTTTAACATTTGTTTTTAAAGTAAGTCAAAGTAGATACCTAAATATGTTGTAAAGTGTGTTGAAAGGTTTTTTTTTTACTTAATTTTGAGTGAAAATGATCCAACTGAAGTCAAATATAATTTTTCATTATGGGGACAAATAAATATTTGGATAATTTTTCAAAAGAACAAACATTCAATAACAAGTCTTTTAAGGCAGGGAAGAAAAAAATAAAAAACTTTTGGAAGTAAAATCTTCAGATTTCTTAACATTTATTAATGGTACCATCATGGTCTGTCCTGTGCAGAATGACTAAATGCTAAATTACTTCTTTACTAAAACCTCTGTAACTTTGCTCCAGTTAATTTTAGCAGCATGAATCTTTGCACAGGTGATGTCCACAAGTGGATTTATGGTTTCCAAGGCTTTTAGTCTGATTTATTATGGTTTTAAATAGGTTATATACTGTACTGTCAAAGGAAAACATTATCCAGACAGGAGGGAAAAATAATGTAAAAAAATTATGTTCCCTGCTCAATATCTCTAAAACCACAGCAGCTGTTTTAATACTTACACTTCTAATAAAATCTCCCAAGTGTTGCTTTATTTTGATACCAAGATTATTTAAGTAGAGTTTGTAAATGCTGAGATACACTCAGTTACATTTCAGCATGGGATTTAAAGCAAAAACTTCAAGAAAACCCCTTGGGACTTAATAGGTTAAGGAAACAGTTGAGCTGTCACTTCTCCTTCATTTTTAATGGTGCAAAGAGAAAAATAATTTAGGTTGTGCTGTTTAGATTAAAAACACAAATGTGACTTCTTGGTGAGGGGAAAATAAGCACATGTGGACTTGATTAGAGCCCTCCCTCGTCCCTCTCCCTGCAGCGGACAGCGTGAACATTAAGATCCTGAACGCCGGAGCTTGGTCGCGGAGCAGCGAGAAGGTTTTTGTTTCACTTCCCACGGAGCTGGAGGACCTCATCCCTGAAGTGGAAGACTTCTACAAGAGGAACCACAGCGGCCGTAAACTCCACTGGCATCACCTCATGTCCAATGGCATCGTGAGTAGATCGTTTAAAAACAAAACGGGCGAAGGGGCCGTTGTTTTTAGCTCGTGAGAGTTTCATGTTGCTGCATTATTCTGCTCAGATCACCTTTAAAAACGAGGTGGGTCAGTACGACCTGGAGGTGACGACCTTCCAGCTCGCCGTGTTGTTCGCCTGGAATCAGAGGCCGAGGGAGAAAATCAGCTTCGAGAACCTGAAACTGGCCACGGAGCTGCCTGACGCCGAGCTGCGCCGGACTCTCTGGGTCAGAGACGAGACAGATTGTTGTTTTTATTTCAGCTATACAAGATTACCACACAAAATACGACTTAATTGATTTGTTGTTACCTTGTTGGCTGATCTTCTCAGGCAAAATGAATCGAATATTAAAATTTACAAACATTTGTTTTATTTACATATTTTTGTAAATTGATTGCTTCTGGAACTGTGACACAAAACGTAACTTGTTTCGGTTAAAACAAGCAGAACAGAAGCTAAAATGAGCAAAACTGTAGCTAAATTTAAGTAAGCACAGTAGTGAGCACCTGTAAGTGCTAAAATTATCAAAACAGTGGCTAAAAGATAAATTTAGCAAAGCTTAGCTAAAAGCAAAAGATAAAAAGTTACCAAAAGCAAAAAGTTACAAAACAGTTGCTAAAAGCAAATGGAAGCGAACTGTAGCATTAACAAATAATTAAAAAATAGTAGCCAAAAACTTTTGAAAATTTAGTAATAACTGTAGCTATAAAATGAATTGTAGCAAAGCAGTACATTAAAGCTAGAATTTGTGAAACCTGAAGTTAGAACTGAACAGTAGCAAAAGAGTTAATTAGCAAAACCCTAGCTTAAAGCTAAAGGTAGCAAAACATTAACTGAAAGCTTAAATGTCAAAGCTGTAGCTGAATTTAAGTAACAGTAGTAAAAAGCTAAAATGAGCAAATCTGTAAGAGCTAAAACGATCAAAACAGTGGCTAAAAGATAAACTTAGCAAAGATTTAATTAAAAACAAAAAACTAAAAGCAAAGTTTAACAAAAAACTTGCTAATAGCTAACTGAAGCAAACTGTAGCGTAAACAATTTTTAAAAAAATAAAAGCCTAAATGTTGCAGCTTAAAGACATCAGTCGACGAATGGAGTAGTTTTTATCCAAACATTTATTTTCTTTTAACTCACATAGAATATAAACTGGCTCCACACACTCACGGTGCTTCTGCTGCGGTCAGAGTCCGGGTGTAAAGTAACGTTCAAGAGACGCCCGTTTCAGAACCTTTCCACATGGTGCATTCAGTGACATCCAGTAAATATTTATATATATATATACATATACACACATATATATATGTGT